CTGCGTGGAAAAACTGTTTTGGGGTTGAAGTCTCTCATCCTTAGTTTCAGTCCAAAATGGTTGTTTTAAGGTTTCAGGAAGTAATGTACACTACTTCAGCACACATGTACAACTGAAGCAGTATCAGAGTTCCACATAAGATCTTAACCTAACCCACAACTAGAATTTTCCTAATATCCCCTGACTAGCCCACCACTGATCTGGGAGCAAATGATGCCAAGGGAGCACCTTGAAAACACAAAGCTAGAAGAAGTTTTCTAAGGCACTGCAATGAGAGCCAGTTGGAAATATTTGAACAAAATATGCTTTTGTTGAAAAACAGCCTTTTCAAAAATAAAAATGTTGTGAATTTTCTCACATTTTTTTCCAATGAAAACCAAAGGCCCCCCATTTTTCTTTTCCATCCCCTTTTTCAGTGGCAAAATTGGAGAAGGAAAAAAGGGGGTGGGGGCATTTGTAGTAAAGGATTTCCCCCCAAAATTAAAAATAAATAGTTATTTTTGGAAACTTCTAAATAAAAACATTTTCAAAATTTGAGAATTTTTTAAAATGTTTTTGATCAACTAATTGGAACCTTCAGATGCACTGAAGAATGTGACTCAAAGCACGACTCAACCTATATGTATTGGTTCAGTTTCTAGAATTCTTATTGCATCCATTAGTCCCAAAGCCCTAAATTAGGGTTTTCTGAAGAATATACAGTCAACATCTTATAAGAACTGCAAAAAATCTGATCACATTTATGAGTTAATTGTTTAATTCTTTATGCTTTTGTAAATATTACCTCTGGTAAAAAAAATTCTATTGAAACTGCTTTCAGAAAAATTGGGTTTTCGACTAAACATTTTTCATGAAAAGTGTCTGCTTTGCATGGAAAATTTCAGTTTTCATACAAATATTTTGGCAAAATCAGTTTTCAGCCAAAATCTTTCAGTTTTTGGCTAAAAACTTGGAAATTTTGGTGAAAACAAAATTTTTCATTTTGTCAAAAATGTCAGACCAACTGTATTAAATATGTTTTTTATTAAGAGCTCGATATAGCAAACTACACACAGGGAACCATTTGTACTGCATAACAAGTTGGATTGGTCCTACAAAACCTAGGAAGTATGCACCACACTCTGGAACACCATCTACTGATGCTTTATCGATTAGCAAATACACACATATACAGATGCCTGTTGCAACACATTCAACGTTGTAATTTCCATAATGTTCAAAGAAACAGACACAATACTTATCATACACAGCACCTAGCTCACTTTTGGAACTATATAGATAATATCATACCATCACAATAACAAAATATTATGTATTGTAAATATCAGTTTACTCAGAGGTCTTAATTCTCTCCTCAAACATGTAACATAGATCATAGCATATCCAGAGGGCTTGAAGTAATTCATTTACCCAAGAAAACGCAATTTTTATGCATTGTCTGCTTTTCTAACTAATTAACTATCCTGAGTGAAAGAAGAGTGACCCAGAGACTTGTCCAGTAAACACAGAGTGTTAATAGCTAGCAGTACAGTGAACTGAGGTTAAAACCACTACAATTGGGTTGCTTAATGGGTAGCAGATTATTATTACAGTGGAGTTCAAAGGGTGTATAAAGGCTGTTAGGGAAGGGTGAATGCTAAGTTCTGGAATACAACCTACAGATATAACTGGACTTTATTTAGAGTTGAGCTACAGACTGTGTTACACATGGGGGTCACATGAGACTCAGTCCACATTAGAATCCAGGATCCTTCCAGCTCCCATTCTTTTATTTACTTAGCATAACACCTGTCGGTCTTATTTAATTTACTAGCACCCAGTTATGTATGAATACACTGTTGCTATCTCAGGTCCAGATTCTGAAATGCTTACTCACAATAAGTAGCTCTTACTCATGTGGGAAGTCCTACTTACCTTCAGTGGAGCTATTTGCATTAATAAGTAGTACTCAGCATGAACAAGGGTTGCAGAATCTGGGCTTAATGTAAATATATATTTTAAACAGGGAAGTGTGATCAGAATGGAAGGAAGCTAAATACATTCTGATTGCTGAAGAGCTATTTCCATTAAGCAGTCACTCACAGCTATAAACACTGGGATCTATTTTGGGGGGAAAGAAATGTTTGCCAAGGTTATCAATAGCTCATTCTTAGAGGAGGCACTGAATTACTCATCTCCACCAGGACAGACTGTAGGGACAGGTGGAAGGGATCTCAATTTAACAACTCATCCAAAGGCCAGTAATGCTAAAGTCTAGCATCCTTTTAGTAGTGTGGGGCAGTCTTAGTTTTAGGAATGAGTCTAAATCCTAATGTGGAACAGGGCCCCATAGCCTTCTGGCCCTGATGCAAGAATGGTACCCAATGAGCCATACAGATAATGGAAAAGACCATTATAGACAATATGTTATCTAATAAGGAGGTATAAAAGTCTTTCTTAAAATTATTTCACTATTAGCACATCCATTTTTAAAGTATAAAACTTTACAGTGATAAATGAAGTTACTGAAATGGCTTCTATCCTGTTGTATTCAAAATATTTCTCTCATTAAAGTAAACTAAATTCCTCTTTTAGCCCTGGAAGAGCAATATAAAGCATCCCTCTCCTGTGAGAGTAGTTTAATATTCTCAACCAGAGAAAGGCACTTCAAGTCACACTTCTTTCATTCTATATAAAGCGTTAAAACATTTTCTAATACCAGTTTGCTCTACATACTCTATAATCTGTTCATTACAGGCTTATCGGCAGTTGGCTATCAAGTTACCTGCACCTATAACAAGGGGACAGCTCAGCTCTGCATCCATTAGGCCTACCTGCCGACAATTGACCCTATGTATTAAAAACCTAATGGAATAGAATCCAATTTCCTTAATGTCAATCTGGGTGAAATGTAGGAGCAAAGGAATTTGCATGACTGAAGATAAACTATATACAAAAATCTTCACTGAAGTCAGTCTGCATAATGCCCATGGGAGCAAGTAATGTTGGGTTTTTTTTAAATCATTATTACCTGCATTGTGGCTATCATCTTGGCCAGTACTCTTGAGAGACCTCAAAGGCTAAACAGAATTGGGACAGGTCAATATTTGGAAGGGAAACCTCAAAGGAAACACAAGAACACTATATAATAACTTGAAGCTGACACCAGAAACCAGAAGTCCTTTCTTGCCAAAGAGTTAATGGTGACTTGTCCAGGGAAAGTCACAGGAGCATCTAAGGTAAAGGGATCCACCCGTAGATTCCTGCTCTGGATCTGTGAAGCAAAGTCTGCACATTATTTAACATAATAAAATCCTCTAAAAACTATCAAAAGGAGCTTTTACTTACCTCCAACTATAAATGTCACAACTTTAAGTCCAATGCCTCAGGACAGAGCAAGAAGCCAGTGCTGCTAGAGCCCACTGGGAAGCTGGGAATACCCCTTTTCTAATAGTATAAAGCTCTAGCATGAAACCCTGGCCCAGTTGAAGTCATTGGAAGTTTTGCCATTCACTTCAGCGAAGCCAGGATTTCATGTTTGGTTCTAGCCTTGCATGTTAATGGTCTTGCACCCACTCTCACATTCACACTTGCAAACATATCAGAATAGATATGGGATGTGTAAAACTAGACATGAGTATGCACTGTACCACAGGAATGACCAGGATCCAGATAACGAGACAAAGGGTATACATTTCTCTGAAAGAGTAAGAGAAGGATAATCAGAGGGAGTGTTGTAAGTAGTTCAGCCTCAGGTCTATGAAACCTGGACCATATATAATCATCAGATGACGTTAGAAGTGTACAGGATTCAGTAGAGCCAAACCCAAATTCCTCTTTATAGTCTCTCTAAAATTGTAATAAGCACTTCTGGCAATTAACAAGAGAGGGGAAGAGGAGGCAGGTTGCAGTGTTACTTTTTAATCTGCTTTTTTTAAATGACCAGCAATGAGAAGATCTACAATAGCAAAACAAGGGGTTTTAATGCAGTATTTCAGAATGACTGGAGTGCTCAGCCTACAAAGGAAGCCATTGTCCCCTGGGATGAAAAAAGTATTTCTAGTAGGCATTAAAGCACCAGCCTCTGGTTTCAGACATATCACACCACTGACCACTTTCTCAACATAGATGGCAATAAATTAATAATTTTATATTCTAATTCTTGATTGAAGTAAAGGTTTAGTGTATATTCAATATCATAGAAAGAAGAAAATGAAATTATTTTCTCCACTCCAGTGGCCTATGAACAAATTGATTATATTGCAACTACAGCTTGTTTACAATAAATGAAGACAAACTCATTCATGTGCCTGGTAAAAGTTGCAAGGAATAACAATAGGGCTAACTATAGCATTGGTTACAATAATTTGATTTGATCTGACTGTAAGGTATGGCATTGTCTGATTAATTACTCCAGCCCAGCATATAAGAGCCAAATAAAATCAAATACTAGACACAATCCAAACTACTGCTGCCATTAAATTAACTCTATCCTCATTGCTGCCAAAGGAAAGGAGCCCATTTATCACATTGAAACTTGAAGCTCATTTATTATAGCAAAAATGAACTTTTATTAAATTATATGGTGGTATCCAAATACCCTCCTATTTTTGGATGGCAGTTTGTTTTTAAATATGTTAGGTCTTTCCCAACTCAGTTGGGATCTGAGAAGGTGGCATGCCACTGACATACCTGAAGTTTAGTTAAAGCGAGTAATAATCCGGCTTCCCTGAAATACATTATATATGCCTCCTTGATTAAGTGACAAAATTATTTTGCTGTATTTTTTTCATTCCAGTTACAAAGCAAACACTCTATTGTAATGGAGAGTTTTCGTGTCATGTGCCTGGCTCAAATCTACCTACTGTGGTACAAAACTAGCCATCATTTTAATAAATATTTTTGACGCTTTCAGAGGGCATCTAATTGGCCTGCCATCACCCTTTGGTAGGCTGGCTGGTGAGTTTATTACTTATGTGCCCGTACTCCCCACAGCAACTTTGAGTGGACAAAAGGCTTACCTGTTCTTCAGTTCCTCAACAACACTTGGAATTGCCTTCATGTTCCACTACACCTTAATCCATTCATAGGGCTGGACATCCTGAACCATAGCACAGTATAGGGTGATTTCACTGATGGTCTCCTTAGATAAAAATAGGCTCAGATTAGTGGCTGCAACTGAGGAATGTTCTGTTCAGCTGAGGAGAAGGCAGGGTACAAGAGCTGCTGCCTGTCCTAGCCCTGGGGTTGCTCTGCATTTGACCATTATGCCAGCATCTTATCCCAGCCTGATTGCAGAGATGAAAGTAGCAGAGTAGTCACTGTACAGCACTCGATTCCCCATCCAGTGGATATTTAAATCTGACTTTTAGGCAATTTTACACCGGCAGAGTCTGATTTTCTAATTTTAATGAGAGTTGGGATGGGCCCTAAATGATCAGATGTAGCTGAGCGCTAGTCTTAGACCCTGTTTCTTTATTGCGTTCAAGAGTTCCTGCAGCACCTGTTTAATTTTTCATCATTAGAAATTATTAAAAGTAATAGCAGCATACACAGATCTAAGCAAAGGTATAACCAAATGTCTGTAAGAGTTAAAAGGCAGCAAGGGGAAGCCACAGGCCTTCAGAATTCAATTGAATTCTGCTTTGATGTTTCTAGATGTATGACAGAGGCTATTAAGAGAGATTGTTTTCTCTGAAGTAAGTAAAGGATGAGGAAACGTCCTATTACCAGGCACACACATAACTCATTTCTAAGTGGATTGGCTCAGACCACATATATCAGTGCAGTAATTTATCATTTTATAAATCATTATTTAAACTCTGTGTGAATGATAAACTACAACACAACATAGACACAGTGAAATAATTCAGCTCCTGGTGTCCAACCTACCTGTTTTTACCAAATGGGTATGTGTATTTGTAACTCCATTCAGAATATTAAAAAAACATGTGCACACAAAATATAGGGTCAGCATGCATACTTATCCCCTTATTTTCCTAAGTTATTATAAATTAATAGAATAAAAGATTGAACTCTCTTTAAAGATTTGTCAAAAAAAAATCCAGGGGTTCTCAAGCATTTTCCGTAGCATGGACTGCATCTTAATAAAGAGATTTGTCTCTTGAACACTTCCCCTCCCCTTCTGGATTGTGTGGGCCATCTACCAGCAAACAGAGAACAGCCCTGTGGCAAATGCAATTGTTTCTTAGATGAAAGAGTAGAACTGGGGACATATGTATGCATTTTAAGCCATCTTTTAATTAATTTAAGCAGCTGGAAATAAAGAGAGCCAAGCACCATGCAACCAGCAAGCTCTCCATAGATCAAGGTTAAATAACCTCTGCCCTGCAAGTATCCTGAGAAAAAGAGACTCCACTCAGAGGTGGCCATATACAGTAAAATTATTCCAGTCCTCTGGGATGATGTTGGGGGATGTGTGAGCATGGATCCAGTAGTAGGGCGGAGTATACCTTCTTTTGCAAAGCTTGCAAAGCTTCCAACATTGCCTATGGAAAGATCAGAACTGCAGCCAATCTCCTTCATACATGATGCATTCTGGGCCAGATCCATAAAGGGACTCAAGTGCCACTGAAATGCACAGAACACCTGTTTGCCTGCTACTTAACCATGTAGGTACTGAAAATTCTATTGTAAAAGTCCCCTAGGTGCCTGAGTTACTGCTTCTGGCACACACACTGCTGCCTCAGGCAGGCACCCAGACACCTCTCTCTCACGTAAGCCCGAGTGTGATCCTCAAACCGGGAGAAGATAGGCATTGCTCCACCTATCTTTCTGTAGGGCCCAATTGGGTAAGCATGCTCAGTGCACAACTAACTCCACACAAAACCGCTGGCGGAAGAGGAGTGTGAGGGTCAGCTGTGGAATGGGGGGCTCTTGTATAACTTCTAATTCATTAATTAGGGCACTCCCAGAGGGTGGGAGACTCCCAGTTCAGTTTCCCCTCTGCCTGAGAAAGGATCTGAACAGATATCTGCCACCTCTCACATAAGTGCCCTAACCAATGGATGATAGTATATTTTGATATGGGTCTCTTTTGTTGAAGCTGTTCCACTTTGGACTAAATAATTACATGTTATTTAGGCCAGTTACTGAGAATATACTTGCACCAGTCCTGAGGTCTTGCCCAGTTCCACTAGATGCAGTGACCGAGGAATGATTAGGCTGTACACCTTGGGGATGTTCTAATCCATATCCAGCTGATGATAGCTGCTTGGGAGCCATTTTGTCAGGTAGGGTTTGCCAGAGCCCAGCAGCACTCTCAGCGCCCCTACTAGGGTTGCCAACTTTATAATCACACAAAACCGAACTAGCCTTGCCCCTTCTCTGAGGCCCTGTCTCCTGCCCTGCCCCTTTCCCAAGGCCCCTCCCCCCGCTCACAACATTTCCCCTCCTTCGGTGGCTTGCTATCCCCCACCCTCACTCACTTTCACTGGGCTGGAGCAGGGGGTTGGATACAGGAGGGGGTTAGGGCTCTAACTGGGGGTGTGAGCTCTGGGGTGTGACCAGAAATGAGGGGTTCAGGGTGTGGGAGGGGGCTCCGGGCTGGGAGTTGGGTTGCAGCAGGAGGTGAGGGATCTGGCTGGGGGGTGCGGATTCTGGAGTGGGACTGGGGATGAGGGTTTTGGGGTGCAGGAGAGGACTCCAGCCTGGGGGATGGGGCCAAGGGATTCAGAGTGTGCAAGGGGGCTGTGGGTTCAGGCAGGGGTTTGGGCTGTGGGAGGGGGTGAGGGCTCTAACTGGGGGTGTGGGCTCCAGGGTTGGGCCAGAAATCAGAGGTTCAGGGAGTAGGAGGGGGCTGCGGGTTGAGGTAGCCCTCTTCTTCTTACGTTACACCCAAGCCTGGCCAGCTTTGGGGTAGTGCGTGCGTGAGTATGAAAGTGGGTTAGGGCTTGGAGCTCTAATGCTTTCTTTCTTTCCCTGAGTGACGTAGGAGCGTTCCCAGCACTCTCTGCTGTTATTTTGTTAATAAAACTTTAAAATCTAGACACTTGATGCGTTTCGTCATCTCCTCCCCAAATGATTCTGTGGTGTCAGCCTGATCAACTGACGCTCCAGGCAGATTGGTAACGAAAATCTGTCACACTTATAGGTTCATTAGTTGCTTCATTCTGCTGGTAAATTCTACATAATCATGGGCTTATTTTGGGTTTTTTCCCCTTGGTGTGGAGCTCTAAACTGTTTTTTTAGTAATCCTTATACACCGCCAAGTTAAAAAGATAATATAACTAGTAAAAAAGACCCTCCATGTTATAGCTTATTCAGCTAGAATCAACCTTAACAATCAATATCCCATTAAGAGAGGAAAAACCTGGATTTTCTTTGCCATTTAACATTTTAAATCTAGATCGCATCTAAAATAGCAGAAACCCAAACTAAACCTTTATTAAAAGAAAACATGAAATTAGCTTTCAAAGTATCTGAGGGTTTCAGGTTGGAGTATCTGGCTATCTTTTTTCCCCAAGGTATCCAGAACAAAACTGGGGAATCAAACCTACTAAGTGGATTTGGCTGAACTCTCTAGAATCAGACCTTTCAGTTTAAAAAAAAGTGGCTTTCCTAGCTCTTCTGCTTGGTGTCAGGATCCTGAAAAGGGCAGTCAGGACCAAGAGTCAGAGCAGGGCCAAAGCCAGGTGTTCCGAAGCAGGAATGGTTAGGCCACTACAGGAGATCTGCACTGTTGCCTGGACTCCTGATTTGATTTGGACTTCTGACCTGGACCCTGGAACCTGACAGACTCTGACCCTTGATATCGACCCTGGCCTGGAATCTGAGTATGAACTCTTCCACTACTCAGGCCTTGGGTTTGATCCTGACTGCCCCTATCAGGAGACTGACAATTTGCCTGGGCACTTCCCGGAATGCCCCTTGGACTTATATAGGGCAGAGAGACGCCAATCAGGAGCCATGAGGCTGCTGCCTGTCAGACCCCTTGAGGCAGTACTTCCCATGATCTGTATCCACAGAAGGTTATGGGTAGTGAAGCACAAGCTGGTTAGCAGCTCTGCAGACCTGGGTTCTAGACCCACTAGGCCTTATATTTGGAAAATAAGCTTTGACTATATAAACTGATGCTCTGCTGTCCAGTCTAGTTGAGTGCACAGAAAAGTTAATAAAACCAAGAGTTTGTAATGATGCAAAGACTTTACAGCCATGTCTCCAGGCACTGGCTCCTGGGTCATTGGTGGAAATAAAATTCAGGACTCACTGCTCCTCACAACTTGGATTACATGAAAGTCTCCATTAGTGCCCTCCCGCTACTGCCACTGAGAAAGGGAGCTGGGAAGAGGGCCAAAGCTCTTACTGTTGTTGGCAGAAATGAAATGAGATCTAGTTGGCAAAGCTGAGCGAAAAGGGAAGCTTTTACAGAGACAGCTCTCATTGCCATTATCCTATCCACTCCCCTGCTCTCTAATAGCATCTCTTATGATAACTGCACCTCTTCTGTGCACCCCTAGAGCTTTAGTCCCAGATATGAGGAGCAAAACAACATGGCCTCAAACTTTCTCTTCCCGTGAAGAAAGGGGCAGAGCAAGGGGCTATCTCACGGAAAGGCAAGCTGGCAAACATCTATATTGTTTCCCCACATCTGGGCACTGTGCTGCCTGGAGCAAGGGTAGTGGCAGTGACTTTCGAACGAGTCACCAATGAACAGTATGGGAGAGGCACTGTGGCAGCCTTTAAAGCAGGGGTTCTCAAACTGGGGGTCGGGACCCCTCAGGGGGTCACGAGGTTATAACATGGGGGTTTGCGAGCTGTCAACCTCCACCCCAAACGCCGCTTTGCCTCCAGCATTTATAATGGTGTTAAATATATTTTAAAAAGTGTTTTTAATTTATAAGGGGGAGGGGTCGCACTCAGAAGCTTGCTATGTGAAAGGGGTCACCAATAAAAAAGTTTGAGAGCCACTGCTTTAAAGGCCTCCATTTCCTCAGTCAAGGTTACCAAGTTAGTGTCTTTACATTGATCAGCAAACATGACCCTCTTTCCATCTCCCTTCCTCAGCAGGAAGGGAGTAGCACTGTCTTGCCAATTGTAAGGCCTGTAAATCTTGCCCCGGGGTATTACTGCAAATGGGATAACATGTTTTTTCCCACATTAGTCTGCATAGACCAGGGAATCACTGAGAAAAGTAATCGGCAAACCCAGCAGCTCTCCATACCTCCATTAGTGCAGACTAATAATAATACTTTAACTTTCCTGGTTTCTGCCACCCAAAAATCCCAAAGCACTTTACGAAAAACTATGCATTAAGCCTCACAAAACCCCTCAGAGGTAAAACAGTCTGATTAGACCCATTCTTCAGCTCAGAAAATGAAGGTGCATTAAGAGGCTGGAATGAAATTTTTCAAAAGTTCTTAAGTAACTAAGAACAAGTCCCATTGAAATCCTACCCTAAGTACTAAGGTCACAGGAAATTTGCTGCAAAGCCAGGAATTGAACCCAAATCACCTGACTTCCAGTCCAATGTATTAGCCGTAATACAATTCTTTTCTTCATTCCTGCAGGTTTCATGGATCAATTGTGCTAAACAAAAAGTTAAAAAGGAAGGAGAAATAAATGGTCCCTCAATGACTCAAAGTGGAAGACTGAAAAGAGAGAGCTAAGCCATTTCCGCCTTTTAAATTCTGAATTATGTTTGCTTTGTTCTTAATATTGTCTGTACATTGTGCTCCATGTGGAAAGGATATTCAGCTGCAACGAACAGTAAGTAATACATTACCAGAGTAAGAGGAGGAGTGGGGACACAGGGCTTATGTATTCTAGAGCTGTAACTAGCTTTATGAAAACCTTGCTTGTTGCAAAAGCTAAGCACAACATTTTCAGATTATATTTGAAGTGAAATTGCACTGGACTCCCAATACATTCATTTTTAAAAGTCCAGGCAATATTTCTGGTACCAGCTTGAGGAATTTCTAGCCCCAGAGTATATAGTAAATGTGCCATACTTGATGGGTTGTTTTTCCAGTTAAGTATTTTATAGCATATTATGATGACAGAGCATGACATTGTTTCTTCATTCCTTATTATATGTTTTAACTCCCTCTCCCAATAAATGAGGGAATTCCTTTCTTCATTTCTATAGAGAGGCATTAATCTCATATGCTTATGTTCGTCTTTGATCTGCAAACTGTGCCAATCATTCATTTCTAATTACATTAACATCATAAAATGTTACTTCTATTGCTTCTTTTTAATTGCCATGCAAATGACTAATTATGCAAAATCTAGAGAATCCAATTAAAAATGAAATTCTTGACATTAAGAGTGTTTACTTTGGCTGTGACTTAAGATTTTGCAATGTGCTACTAGTATCTTAACATAATGCAGTTGGAATAACAATTTGAACCATGATTTAACAAAAACACAAATATACTGCCAAACAGCTACTACTTAAATAATCTTTGGAATAGAGATTAATTCAAACCAAGTCCCTGGGTCCAAACCAAGACCCTAAATCCAAATACCCCGAGTTGGTTTTATTGGTGAGGAAAGAATCAGGGTTTCATAATTTGACCAAACATCCAAACTTTTCTGTCACTGTAATTGACCAATCTGGATTCAAACTCACCTCACTTCATCCAAACCCCCTGTGCATATGTATCAGGTCTAATTACTGCAGCCCAGGTCCATTTCTATTTTGCAATAACCACTGCAGTTCTACATGGGATCCCACATTAGTGCTACTACAGTTACTCCCTGTTAATGATACACAGCATGCTATTACTAGCATGCTTTCATTGTATAGCATATGCCTTTGTCTCTGCAGTACTTTTCTTTCACAATGAATTTCTACCTTATAAATTATATAGTTGAAATCAAAGTTAATTGGCAATGAATACTTCATCAGTGTGTTGCCAATTACTTCAAATAAACATTTTTGCCCAGAGCGGCTGTAGATCATGTGTATAGGAATTGTATGCAAAACCCATAAAACAAAACGAAAAAACCACCCCAGACGATTGGCTGTGTTGGGGAATGATCTGTTTGCCAAGCACAGCAGTTTGCAGTGGCAAATACAGCCTGTTTCAGAAGCGGTCAATAAAAATCGGAGCTGAAGATTTCAGGAACACAGAGGGAATAATTCATCCTCTAAATGAAGAAAGATCACCTTCACATTACAGAGTGGTAGCCGTGTTAGTCTGTATCAGCAAAAAGAATGAGGAGTACTTGTGCCACCTTAGAGACTAACAAATTTATTCGAGCATAAGCTTTGTGGGCTAAAACCCACTTCATTGGATGCATGCATGCAGTGGAAAATACAGTAGGAAGATTATATATACACACACAGAGAACATGAAAAAATGGGTGTTGCCATACCAACATTACAGGAACTGCTTAACTTGTATTGCTTTGCATCCCTTTGTTTTAGAATAGTGAAACCAACTTCCTCAACTTCATTCAAAGACTGTATTTCAAAGATGTACAATAAGCATTATTAAGATAAAAAGGCCCATTTATCTGATCTTATAGTAGCACTGCTCAGATGATATGGTTTACAGGATCAGACCCAAATAAAGATCTAAAACCACATGAAACTGTCTGCAGTTCTGTTTTTTTAATACATAGAGACTCACGTTAAAAATTATTATGGTTAGGGGAACTGGCATGTGAAAAATATTTGCCTTTAGCTTCTATCATATATATTGCTAATAGTATTACAGCACAATCTTGCTTTCCTTGCACATCCATGGGGGGGAGGGAGGTTGGGAGTACAAGGCGGGTTTACAGTGTGCAAAGAATGCAGATCTTGGCTCCAAGCCTCTAACTTATGTTATTTTTCATACCTACTATCTTTTTTTTTAACATTTTATTCATTTCACAACAGAAATATACAAAACTAAGCAGAATAATTTTACAAATTGTCACGGGGTAGGAGATGTCTCTCTTTGCTTTTGTTCTCTAGATTTGAAGCAGCGTTTTAAAAAAAAATGCATTTTGTTAATTTATGTAAATCAGGACATTTCCCTAACACCAGAATATTGGGAAATAAATCTGTAATCACAGCAGAAATATTTCAGTTTGGGATAGTCCCTGAAAAACTGTGACTACCATGGCATTTCCTCTAGCTTTTAGTTGTGAGTTGCATGCCTGTTTTCCCCCCATTGCAAGACTTACAGGGAAAAAAAATCTCATATCATTGTCTTGATTTACTGAAATTACAGAAAGATGGATCCTTGTTTGGAATCCATATGGCTGCAGGCGATAAATGTATCGCATCACAGTGGGGCAAATCCTGCCTCCCATCACTACAGGTGAGCTTCAAAGAGCCCCAAATGCTGCAGAACTGTGCCCTGGTGGGGAGTGAGCAGCACGACGTAAGAGAAATGCAGTGTGTGGGGGTGGGGAGGAGTCTGGGGGTTGTTAATCCTGAACGCCACAGGGATTTCCTGTCTATAACTGTTCGCGTCAGACTAGGGAAAAGGCAGGACCACACGGATCCCTCTGAATGCCACCCTCACAGAGGTGCAGGGCCGAGGACCCTATTGCAACCCTGATACTGTAGTTTTGACTGCAGCAAGGAGGTGAATTCCATCCCTCTCTGACTGCCAGAGGACCTTCCACTCCATTGGATGAATCTCAACCCCATTCACTCAGGCTTATCACAGAGTGGAGGACTGGACCGAAAGCTGCACACACATATATCAACTATAGAAATGCCACTCACAAGAACAAAAGAATTAAGAGAAGTATGGAAAGACTTAGATTAACAAGATGACAATCGGGGAAAGATGGACCTAGCTAAGTGAACTGATTATAAATAAGTCATGTGTTTACAACAATAGCATGTTGATACATCTTAATGTATACATCATGCTGTGTTACCCTTGCTCATGTGTCTGACAACCTGGGTTATACTGTTAACTTACAATATTTTCTTAACAGCAACAATTCTGTTTACATTTAATATAAAAATTAGTAACAACAAAGTGCATTTTAGAAATAGAGGGCTGCATCTTCTTCCTGCAGCATACCATACAAACAAAGGTCACTGTGTCCTTTCATCTATTTGATGTCAATCCTTTAAAAAAAAAATCACGATAGCTATTCTGTAATTCATGCTAAATAAAAATGAAATCATTTTCACTTTGACAATTGGGGAAAAATTGTTAGCAGGCAAAACAGGAACAAAAGAGGATAACAGATTGTTGCAGTGGCAAGGTTGATACGGGCAATATATTCTTCACTAATATATATGTTGAATAACATGAAGGCTCTGACTTCGTCACACGAGACCATATGCATTCGCTTATAATGAAATTACTCTTTAACTCACCCTTATTATTAACTGTGATCTTACATTTCTGACATGCTGCAAGAGCTACATTACACATAACAAAGGGGATATGTCAAAGGAAAAATGCCACGAGGCATGTTCTTCTCCACAGAGCTCTAGAAATATTTTATTTTTTAAACAATTATAATTTTATTTTTTTCTTCCCCCTCAGTTCTGAAAAAGCACCAGGTACACTGAAAAAAATAAAGCATACGGGAGCTCCACAATGTATTTAAAGAAAAATCTGCATCCATTTTTTATTCTTTTCTTCCCTGCCCCTTTTCTTCATTAGAATGCACAGCCATTCAGAGGGGGGAATTTCTTGCTTGCTTGTTCTCTCGCTGGAGGGTTGTTCCTTAACTGAAGGGTTATTCCTTAGCTGTTCTATTTATAGATCTGCTTCAACTGCTGTTGGGGACTCACCATTTGCTGTTCAGCACTTTATGCTCAGATAGCCTCCTGGGTATATTGCATTTTCATAAATTCTGTGAATGGCACAGAAATTGCTTCTAACATTCCATCTGCATTTTGATTTCTCCAGCAAAATCATCTCACATCACTGTTTTCCTTTTATGTTAAAAACAATTGTGGGCACCATCAATAATTTTATAGCATAAATAGAAAGGAAGCAAATTAGCTTGTCATTCCAGAAGGCTTTTCATTGCAATCTTTTTATAGCATTACCAGTTTATAGCCGTGCATCATTACCAGTGAAACAACCAGTCTGTCTGATATATGTATCAGCAGCAGCACATGGCAAGGAATGAGATGTTAAATTTATTCATGAAAAGCAACCGCTCTCACTCAATAACATTTTATCATCTTCTTAACAGGGGCCCTACATAGCCACGTAGAATAAATGTGCACTAACTACTTGGTTCATACCTTGGATGAAGCTTGTTGTTTTGATGCTATTGCAAGTCCATCCCAGATGCAGTGCACTGCTGGGTCTCTCCTGCCCTACTGAAGACAATGGTGAACAAATGCAGTTTCCCCCACCCTCAATACACCGCTCTGACAATATACATGGACCCAGAACTGTGCTAGGAGAAGCCAAGAGTGAATTCCCCAGCTCAGTCACAGACTAGGGCTGCCATAAACAGCCCTACACTGGCCCCCACACAAAGAGTGTGGTGTGTGTGGAAGAGGCATGTCAGGAATAGGCGGAGGAATCTCTGTAGTGATGCTACAGTGAGGATTCTGGGCTGCTCTGGACTGCAGAGCATCTCATAGACAATCCTCAGAAGGCTACCATAAACTGAAGCATCAAAGGGCTGCTCCAGCTTACTCTGGGGGCCATTTCGACTCTACCCTCCCCCGCCCACCTATGAGCTGTGTCTTCCGCCTTGTGCTTTCAGGAGAACACAGCCCAGAATCTCAACCTGAAAGTGTTGCTATTGACTTCAAGGAGGGCAGGTTCAAATCCTAACATCAGTTGCTGGAGAAAAGACAAAATAATGGTGACACTAAAGGAAGTGGGACTATTTGAAAGGGCCTTCTCCTAGCCCTCTGGAGGTGAGATTCTCTAGTGTATACCAAAGCCTTAGGCAGAACCATTTGAGCCCATATCCTCCTGATCAACCTGTGAGTCCCACAGCCCAGCAGGGAAGCAGGCATCGGAGCAGCCAGAGCCACATTCAGGTGGCCAGCCAGAGGAGCTGTTGACCAGCTGTGGCAGGGAAGGAAAAGCTGCTTGAAGTGCTCTTGGGTCACACCAATGCAGGGGCAGCAATAGGGAATCAGCTGGGGAGGCACTGCCCTTCTCCCCCATCTCCTCCCTATAGCTCCCTGACTGAAATGCTTCAGTTTGAAAATCACAGATCATGGCTCAGGGAACATATTGTCAATTAGTAAAATACAAATTTTCTTCTAAACATGCAGTTGCCGCCTAGGGCCATGAGTTAGAGCCTCACAGCGCCCCAAGTGTCCCTCTGGTCACGCTGGCCTATGTCAAATTAGCCGAGTTTTGGTCCAGTTGCTAGGGGACAATTAGCCACATCCCAAAACCATCACCCCCAGGGTCATTAATTGGCACCCTTGTTGACAACCTAAGCCCAATCACCAAGGATTGAATAAGCATTGAGACTAATCTACTCTCTCCTCTAAAATTGGTCCCTCTAGAGCAGCTGCACCATGTTCTCAAGGTAGTGTGGGAAAACAGAGGACTTCAGGGTCCAGAACTGTCAATCCAGCACATTCCAACAGCACTAAACATTTTCAATTAAAAGAAAAAAAATACCAGTGATACAGGTCCACTAATACAGGTCAGTAATTCTTACTTGCATGGTGATAATCTCATCGGTATTTTGCACATACATGACACTATAATGCAAATATAATACAGGACCATGTCTATCTGCTGAACCATAGTGAGAGTTACACAGTAACTACTCTC